AACGTCATAAATTAGGTATTTATTAATGAATCCTCATTTTACACAAGAAGAAACTGAGTAATGTGCCCAAGCCACATAACTAGTAAGTAGTGAAGCTGGGTTTCAAAGCCAGGTATTCTAAACCCAAAATCCATGTTCTAATAATTACACTGAAGTGCCTCCCACTTTGTCCCAGGCAATCAGTTTATTTATACAGGTAGAATCCTGATTAGTAGGAATGAATTAGGACATAGATAATTACATAAAATTACCAAGAAAAATCTAGCAATGACAGATATAATTTATTCATTATAATTTATGTTAACTCTTGATACTGTTGCCATTATAAAACCTTTCCCTTTTTATGTGTTTTTTTTTATTTTTTCCTCACTGAGGAGTCTAATGACCATAACATTTTTTTTTCTTCTTCTCTTTCTATCCTAAAATAACTGTAGTAACAGTACATTTTCAAGTGGTGGTATATTCTGTAAATAGTTGAAAATAATAAAATGTCTCTGAATTCAATACATTACTTTATATTACCCTTCAATTTTGTGAAAAAATATCACAAATTAATCCCTAATTCCAAGACATAAAATGTGTTGTGTTTATAAATAGAAAATTACACATTTTTATTAGTCCCTCTCCCTACTGCATTTTTTCAAAGTGCTAACATTTAGTTTCTGCAAATCAAATTCCTTTTTGACACATAGTCTTTTAAAGAACAAAAAAGAAACAATGTAAAAAGTACAGAATTTAAAGAGTGCAAGAAGTAGCTAAAATATGAAGTGCCAACTTGTGGCAGGGTGCGGTGGCTCACTCCTGTAATCCCAGCACTTTGGGAGGCTGAGGCGGGTGGCTCATAAGATCAAGAGATCAAGACCATCCTGGCCAACATGGTGAAAACCCGTCTCTACTAAAAATACAAAAATTAGCTGGGTATGGTGGTACGTGCCTGTAGTCCCAGCTACTTGGGAGGCTGAGGCAGGAGAATCGCTTGAACCCGGGAGGCAGAGGTTGCTGTGAGCCGAGATTGCGCCACTGCACTCCAGCCTGGTGACATAGCGAGACTCCACTTCAAAAAATAAATAAATAAATAAATATAAAATAAACAAATAAATAAATAAATAAAATATGGAATGCCAACTTGTAAAAAATAAACACTTGTCATGCTTTGCTCTCAGAAGACAATATCAGAGTAATGAGTAAGACATATCTTCAGCTCTGTGTATCTCTTAAAATATATATATATAGTTAATCTCTCTAAAGCTTCTAAAGATAGAAAACAAGAATTAACTGTAGAATCTCTTTCCTTCACTCCATACACACTTATTGTGTCATTACTTTTCTAGATACTGAGGTCTCAGGAATAAAAAAGGGAGATGAGACTCATACTCTTAAGGGGCTTACATTTGACAGGAGGAGGCAGTCAGCAAAGAAGAAAAGAAATACAAAAACAAGAAATCCTAAAGTGATAAGTGCCATGGAAAAAACTACAGGTAGTACTGTGAGAAATAGAATTGCACCAAGCGACTAAGTGTGTGAGTGGGAGAGATGCACATGAACAGCTAATGCTCAGGTTAAGTGGTCAGCAAAGACATCTCTGAAAAAGGTGACATGAAATGGAACCAAAATAATACAGTGAGTCAATTTGTGCATGCTAAGTGGAAAGGACCAAAGGTGTTGTATTAGTCTGTTTTCATACTGCTCTAAAAGAACTGCTCAAGACTTGGTAATTCATAAAGGAAAGAGGTTTAATTGACTTACACTTCAGCATGACCTGGGAGGCCTTACGAAATTTATAATCACGGCGAAGGCCAGGGGCAAGCAAGGCACCTCCTTTACACGGTGGCAGGAAGGAGATGTGCTGACGAAGTTAGGAAGAGTCCCTTACAACAACACCAGATCTCGTGAGAACTCACTCGCTATCACGACAACAGCATTGGGGAAACTGCTGCCATAATCCTTTTACCTCCACCTGGTCTCTCCCTTGACACATGTGGATTATGAGGATTAATTCATGATGAGATTTGGGTTGGGATGCAAAGCCTAATTATATCAAGTGGGAATGAGTTTGAGACCAAAACATGTCTTGTATGGTAAAGTACTGGACAGGGGGATCACAGACTGAGACGAGATTAGCTCTGGCTGAGAAGAGATCACAGGGTTTGATCACAAGGTCAACAGATTACAGGGGAATGATCACAAAGTAAACAGACTGATCACAAAATAGAGATCTCCAAGACAAGCAGCATGAAGGAGCCCAAGTGGCAATAGTAAGTGGCAAAAGTTTTCAGTGTAGCATAGTATGAATCCCTTTATATTTAAAAAAAAAAAAAAGACAAAACAACAAAAAAAAAACCATTATTTTAGCTGCTCTAAGAAAAGTGAATTGTAAGAAAGCAAGGAGTAGAGTTTGGAAAGGAATTCATATAAGGGCAGTCTAATTTAAAGATGAGGACAGAAAAGTTGCAAGTAGTAAAGACAGTGAAAAGAAGGATTCAGGATACGTTTTGGAGGCATATTTGACAAAACTTTCTAAAGGAAAACAACACCCAGAGTTTTGGCCCAAGCGGCTTGATGAGGGAGTGATTAACTGACATAGAGAAAACTAAAGGAGAAAGAGAAATATGGGCCCCGGTATTGATTCTGAAGTTCCCGCTTTCAATGTGTTTATTTTAAGATGCTTATTAAACATCCAATGGAGACAAAGGGGAGAGGCTAATGATACAAAGTTGGAATTCCATATATAGTTGGTGTAGAAAGCTATGGACTGGATGAGATCAGCAAAAAGAGCTGGGATGGGGAGCCCAGAGAGATAAACAGGTGGAGGGGGAGTAAACTAGGGAGAGACAAGTCTTGCTCTGAGTATTGGGACCCTGTAATGTTTAGTGGCTGAGGAGGCAAGGACTCAGCAAAACATACTAACAAGAGGTGGCCAGAGAGGTAGAAGGGAAAATGTAAATTTATCTGTTCCATACATAGAACCTTGACAGATAACATTTTGACAATAACAAAATGTAGTACTCTTTCGCACTTTCACATGCATCATTGCTATCACAGCAAGTTCACTGACCTACATCACAGAACTACTTGTTTTCTGATTAAAGCCGGGTTAAAGACTGCTTCTCAGGAATAATATCTAGAGTTGTTTTGATTTGACAACAAAATCAAGCAACCTCACCTCATAAGCACACTTTCCTGCACGTTATTAATCACCGTACCCATCTGTGGAGCATTGCAACATAATCATGAAGCTTGTCTGCCTGTTTCACCATTGCAACTTCTGGCTTTGGTGTCACAATGCTCCGTAATTCTTTGCTGTTACAATATTCAAGGTCACTCTTAGTGATAAATAAATTAAAGATAAATTTCATGTACTATGTTATTACGGAATTCCACAATCTTGCAAAAGTTCTGTTCTGAATTTTTCATCTTCTTTTCATTTCACAAAAACACCAAACTTTACCATGACTTGCCAATTTATTGTGAATCTTTCTTTAGAAATTCAGATAACAAACAATACTTATTCCAGTTTTTGAGGCACATTAATTTTAGCTCCTCTCTAATATCACTATACATCCTTACTTCATAAAACTCAATTTATTAACTTTCATATTCTCTCTGATCTACCTCCAACTCAAGCAGAAAACAATTATTTTTATGTAAACATCGATATACTCTTGTATTACCTTGTTTTAGTCTTCTACTTGACAGTGAACCTATCACAGGTATAACTGTGTCTTATTAATCTCTATATTTCTTTTTTCTAGCACAGTGCATACCACAAAGTGCATGGTCAATAACTATTGAGTAAAATAATGAATTAAATAATTGATTAGATTAGTTTAGACTGTTAATTTTTGGTTTGACAAAAATGATAAAGATATCAAACAACTGCTTTATTATATTTTAACATAGACTCAGGAGAAATTTTTGCATTCTTGAGATTCATCAGTCCCTCATGCTTTCTTAATTCATCTTTATTTGGGTATGTACTTTTCATTAGTATGCTAGTATAACAACAAACCATTTTGAGTGACAACTGCTAGTCAATTAACCTACGATATGTTTTCAATTCTCAGGAACTAGCTCTGTGATTGAAATCAATAGTAATATTAAATGGTTGGTTCTCTCTTTTGCTCAATGCAACAAATACTTCTTGTATTTTAACAAAATATATAGCCCCTATAATAATGATGGAAAGACATTGCACATTCCATACTATTATTTTTACTAGTCAACTTTACAATTACTTCAACAGTCAATTCTTCATTTTTATTCAACTGAACTCAGTTCAAACAGTTAAATATTTAGATCTGATTCTTTTTTCAAGAAAAATTAGAACTGAGTTTGAGAGGTGTGTCTGTCTGATAAGTGCAGCAGCAGTCTAAAGGGTACAAAATACTTGACTTTAGGAAATGATGTGTGGGGCATCATGTAATATGTACAGAGAATTGCCTCTGAATATATTGCCAATGTGGCATCCCCAAACAACATGAGTTAGCAATCTATGCCCATGTAATTTCTTCTAGATAAAGAAGAATGCTGTCTGGTTATAGACCATCAAGACTTTATTCCAGTGGGAAAAGCTATGCCTACAGCATTTTTTTTTTTTTCTGACTTTTTGTGTAAAAGTCACATCAAGCAGAATATATGGACACTACATCTTGAATTTTCTGGTCCTCTGGGTCAGCTGAACGTCTTATGAATTCAATTGAATAAGGTCTCAGGAATTCAAGTTGAATAAGTGACTTGATGAACTGCTAATTGGCAAGTTAATATCAGAGTTGTATAGCTTTGAGGTGAATTAACATAATTTTTAAAAAAAGGAAAGGAAACAAAAAAAACCAATAATTCCAAGTATTTATCCATGGGTCTCTCTTAGCAGTAACAGACATAGGGAGACTTTTAAATTTACTTTTTCCTCTTTATCCTGAGATAATCAACAATTTATTTTCTTTTCAGTATACCTTTTTTATCTATTTTATATGATGTGCTATAACTTCTTTTTTACTTACCTCTTAAGTAGATCTGATTGAGAATAAATATAGCTAAATTCCAAATACTATTCCCTCTTGTTTTACAATTAGAACAAACACATTAAAATGAAGACTTGATTCATGAAACAACTAACAAACTGTTATAAAACAGCATAATTACTATAAACTCAAAACTAAAAATAGTTTACTTATTACATTCTTAAAATCACTATACACTAATATAGAGATTTTATTTAATAGACACTCAACAACAAAATCAATACTACTCATGGGAATTCATTCAAATAGAGTGTTGTCAAATGCATGACAAAAGGAGGTAACTGATTAAAGAAAAACAGTAATTGTAAACATGTTAATATATCTCTACTATTTGACATTATCCAGACATCTTTTATATTTGATTTTAAATAAAACAGATTTATTCTTAAAATCCAATAATTGACTAATCATGGCATCTTTCAGGTTTTATCTAGAATTGGAAAAATTTAGTATCCATATTTAACACAAACAGTAACTAGAGTCTTATATAGATTAGGGGGTTGAAATGATTGTCCCAGAAGCACCAGAGCATAACGAGCAATAAACACATGTGCTTTTATACGCAGAAAAATACTGAGATCAAAGAAACCCTTACTGACAGCCTTTGATGATGGGAACATAGAAAATTGCAATAAAAAAATTATTGAGCTTGACTATGCATGTTTTCACTTCATTGGGAATTCACAGTTGTTAAAGGTAATGATCCTTCTTATGGTCACATATGGCACAACCAAGATTATGTTATGAATATACTTCTAATGTCATGAATGAATTCTGTGCACCATAAACCTATCTTTAAAACAGGACTATTGGCTTAATATCTGATTTTAAATTATCATATTTTTAATACAGTTTTTATTGTTTTTTAATGATTAAAATTAATTTTCTAAAATCGACATATATGAAGAGAAATTATCAAAGTGTAAACTGATTTTGTTAATAAAAAGTGTGAATATTCTAATATGACCTCATTAATTCTGATACCTTGGAAGTTAAATCTTGCAATTTCGAACAAATCACAAATATTTCTTAAAATATTTTTGGAGCCTTAAAAATAAAACATTGCTGAAATTCATGATATTATTATACTTGTTTCCCTATGTGGAATTTAAACATAAAACACAGACTGAAAATATGATCATTTATATGATGATAAATAGTGCTGTGAGCATTAATCACGTTATTCATGGTCATCATTTGATAACTTTAATATTCAAAGAGACCTAATTGTTAATTGCAACTCTTACATATATTTCGAATTACAAATGATATATTGGTCTTGCATGTTTCTTAGAAATGCTGGTATGTGCTGTCCAAATTTCTGAAAACATCATGTTAAGGTGGGGCTGACCTTCTTGGGCATTTCCTGATGTCCTGTTGTCACTGTATGCCTGCAGCTCTGTTTCCCTGTTTCATCATGTGGGGAGGTGGGAGTAGGTAATGGAGCTTCTGTTAAAAAAATTAGAAAACTTTAAAAATTAGTTTATTTACTTTAGACTTTCCAAAAAACACTGGACTGGACATGGTGTAGGAGGTTATGAATGGATGGGGGGCATTCATCATGAAGGAATAGGATATACTGATGGAAATTACACATGGATGGAAGAGAAGAAGAGTGAACATAAGAACATGTCTATGAAGGAAGTGCATGTGAAAGACCACGTATTGTGAGTAAAAACATAAGAACTATGAGTATCGATCAATCAAGTCTTCAAGAATGTTTACTGAGTACCTATTCTTTCTGAGAACAGTATACCACAGCAAATCATTGGATGCTTTCTGTAGGTTAACACTGACTCATCATTCAATATTGTTTTGCTAATGAGGCATATATGGCTCATTTAAGAAATCTGGACTGAGAATCCAATAGCCCGGTAGTTATTAATATAGCCGAGTTTGCTCAATTATTGACTCACTCTGTTGTTAGCTACTTGTAGAGCACCATGCTGTGTCAGTACTAGGAATGCAGAAATGAGTGAAAAAGTACTCTTCCTCAAGGAGCTCAAAAGAATCAGTTTGGGGTGGGGGTTGAGAAAGGGCACACTATTCTGTTTCTTGCTGCTTCTTATGCTATTGACTTTCTTTATCAACAATAACTTGAATATTTAGTAAAGAAAAGCAAAATTATACATTTGAATAAGCTCAAGCTATTTAACTTCATCATTCATCCACCCATGAATATATTCAATAAACTCTCACTGAGCACTAAGTATGTGCTATGGAACCCTCCTGGTTATCGGGAACATGACAATGAATAAAATGTCCAGAATTCTCACCCACATTTTAATTATATACACATGGATGACAGAAAACACTTCTGTTAAATTATAACTAAATTATAACATTTGACTGCAAAATACTAATTAAAAATAATAATCTAATGAATAGAGTATGCAGGCACTATTTAATTATTATATAGTATTAATGTTATGGTTAAAACATTTAACAACATCAACAATCAAAAACAAGAACTATCATATTTTCTAATCATATTTCACTTTAAATCTACAATGAATACTCCTGACATTATTAACAAAAATTAGATATTCATAAAATTATAATGCTGAAGTAGAAAAACAGAAAATGGCAAACACTAGTTTCTCTATATTAATACTTCAGAAGAAAATTACATATCTCTGTATCCACCTCTACCCTCCTCCAATAAAAACTTTATCAAAAGAAAAAAAAAGAAAAAGAAATCCATAGAAAGCAGCTTAAGGGCCTATAGAAGAGAATATAGATTTTCCTCTTGAACTCTGTTCTTCATTTCAAGACACTAAAGAATGGTGGTAGAAGTGTGGTTTCTATAGTCAGACTCACTAGCTATGTAATCCCAGGCAAGGTACTTGGTGGCTATTTCTCTGTACTTCTGTTTTCTTATTTTTGAAAAGAGGGCTAAAAAATGTACAAGCTTCGCAGGGTTAATGTGAAAGTTAACTAAGTTAATGTATGTAAATAATTTCACACTTTTAAAAGCATATAATAAGTGCTTACAAATGTTTGCTATTTTTTTCTGTTATACAGTCAACAGAACAGGGAAGTAACAATGCCTGTCAGAATTTTTACTGACAGAGGTTCTCAGAGCACTTGAATGAAGAATTCTGAACCAAGAACTTGGGTTTGTAATTAATCTTCAGTGTCAGATATTCTCTGGGCAATACAGCAGCAGACCAAGCTGCTATAGCTGGTGCCCATATGTTCCTCCTCACGGCAAAGTGAAAGAGCCAAATTCTGCATGTACTGCCAGAATCCCCCGGCTTCATAATTGCCACCACTTTTTCCATTTTGACAGTATAGATTCTGTTCTGCTGGTTGGCTGAGATTGTCTGGCTATGCACAGTGGAAAAACTATTACCAAATCATTCCAGCCATAACTTGTGAACTTATTCAGCAATAGAACATTCCTGCCAACTACAAGCTGAACAATTGCTTCTTTCGTTCCTCTTGTGTACTTTAGACACAATCTCAGACAAGGCTAATCAAACCAAAGCGGAAAAGGCTTGAAAATTATCTGGTGAAGGTTTGAAGTAAATCATTAAAGTGTTTTTAATTATCCAAAGTATGATTATCTATACTACAAGGAAAATGTCTAAAGTTTAGGCTTGGCATTGGCCATTGGAAAACAACAGAAAATGATTTGAATTTGTTGGACGGGAAGGTACCAACCCTGAATTCATGACAAATGTGCATTTACATTTCTGGCCTGTGCAGAATGAATCAACATCCCAAATCTGTTTTAAAAACTCCACCCTAAACATTTGCTTATTCTTCCAGTAAGAATATACAAAACAGCCCACAGTATGAGAACAGAACTTGAATAGGTTTTTGAGGAGTCATGATAGGTTTTACATTCAACTTGCCACATTACCTTGTTTCCTTTATGCTCAATGACATGTATTTGTAAAACATGTCTCACGTGCAGGGTCACAGTTTGATTACAGAAAAAAAACATGTTTGTGTATTAAGCCATCAGATTTATCTGGAGATCAAATAAACACCCATAAACTACAAGCTGCAAATATTCACCAATTGAATCTGTGTGTGTGCAAAAGTGCTTTACTAAGGAAAGCTCTGTTCAAATGCTAATCGTTATCCAACTGACTACATTAAAAGTTCCTTCAGGGAATCGATAACCTCTTACTCATCTTTACGACGCCATCTTCTGAGAATCAAAGGAAATTTGTTTATTGGCTAAACACAATGAAAGCTAAGCTCTTAGGCTAAGCAGCAGAGGGCTATTGGATTCTCAGTCCAGATTTCTTAAATGAGCCATATATGCCTGGATATAAAAAACTGAAATGCAAGGTTCAGTCTCATTTTCAGTGGCCATCACCTAAACAATGTGTTAGTGCCTTAAAGGAAAAGTATTTAAAAAGTATTAGAATATAAATATGCTATTGAAATTGCATAGAAGACCCAAGAAAAGCCTACAATATACATGCTTAAAACTGGATTGAATTATATAATAGATCACATATGTAAACCAATCATATGAATTAAATAAAATTCTAACAATTTTTAATATGTTTTAGTTATTTTTTCTCAAATGGAAGCCTACATGTAAGTTATTTGATAATGTTTTTGTGGGGTTTAAGACATGAATCTTAGTAAGAGGCTTAAGTAATTATTGAAAAAATACAAAGCATGACTTTCTATGACAAAATAATACATAGTAAGATTTTTAAAAATGTAAACAGAAAAAAATAAATTATGAAGCTTTAAATTTTATTTCCACTGAAGTTATTAAAAAGCAATGATAAAATATGATATAAAATCTAGTATTTCTTATTTATAAAATACCAATACTGGTTTGAATTATGTATTCTATGAATATTCAGAAAATCAGCAGTTAAATAACAAACACGACCCTTGTTTTAAAATTCATGCTTAATTGCTAAATTTCCTTCACTTTGCTCAGACACTATAGCCATGCTCCATGTGTAAACTCATGGGCAAATATTTGCATTACAAGTTTTTTCAATTTCTGCTGAACTGCCAATTGTATGCTTTGCTCATAATCTTTAAATAGTATACCTCATGCTTATTTGTCTTTGCCCAATAAGTGTTTTGAGTTACAGAAAATAGCACAGAGTGACTTCTTTATTAATCCATCACATTAGCAAAATAAACATGTGAGTTCACAGGATTAAAATATGATCATCCCATTTGAGTGCCCAGTCTGAAGGGAATACATGTATTAATACTCATATTAAGAACTTTTATGATTTGTGAAAGTAATATTATATACATATTTCACTAAATAATGCAATAAAAAAGAATTACATTTATTAGCATTTTAGAATACAAACTAGTATATCTTCAAAAAGAATCAAATCAAATAATATATATGTGTATTAGTCTGTTTTCACACTGCTGGTAGAGACATAGCCGAGACTGGAAAGAAAAAGAGGTTTAAGTGGACTTACAGTTCTACATGGCAGGGGAGGCCTCAGAACTATGGCAGGACCCAAAAGACACTTCTTGCATGGTGGTGGCAAGAGAAAGCGAGGAAGAAGCAAAAGCAGAAGCCCCTGATAAACCCATCAGATATTGTAATACTTATTTACTATCAAGAGAATAGCATGGGAAAGACCGGCCCCCATGATTCAATTACCTTCCCCTGTCCCTCCCACAACATGGGGGAATTCTGGGAGATACAATTCAAGTTGAGATTTGGTG